GTGATTTTAAGTACATAGATTCACTATTCTCCTAAAATAGAAAATATGAAATTATAAAGTTAATAATTATAAATGTACAATATTAGTCTAAATCTTTTAGTTGTAATTGAGCTACAACAACAATGATTCTTCGTGGTAATAATTGTAGTTAGGTCGCAGTTGCAGTTAATTGCTACAAAAAGAGTGGTTTACCACAAAATGCCATTGTTGGTGGTTGTAATAGCTTCAATATATAGTAGAGATAGCAGTTGTAATTGTAGCTGGTCATATAGGTCAAAGTTTATAGCGGCAAGAGAGTTTGTTGGCCATAAACACTGTAGTTGGTAATCATAATGTTAGTCATATAGGTCATAGTTGGTTGTTATAAGAGCATCGATTGGCCACAGAAACTGTAATTAAAAGTCATAATAGCAATCTTTCGTATATGTTGTAGTTAGTCACATAAGCTATAATAGGAAGTTACATTTACCTTATTTGTCACAAAGGCTGTAGTTGGAAGCTATAGTAGTAATGAGCCACATAGGTTGTAGTTGATCACATATACCATTTTGAGAAGCTACAAAACCATCAATTCACTAAAACAGTCGTAATTGAAAGCTACATTAGTAGTGAGCCACATAAGTCTTAGTTGGAAACTATAATAGCAGTTACCTACATATGTTTTAATTGGTCACATAAGTCATAGTGAAAGCTTGTAATTCCAACAATTTACGACGCAGACCGTATTGGGACGTTATAGTAGTAACTGGTTGCATAGGTCGTAGTTGGCCACTTCAAGGAGTCAGTTGATCACAGAAGTTGTAGTGCAATGTTGTAATGACAACAGTCTGTCATGTAAATCATAGTGGAAAGTTATAGCTGTAATTGGCCACACAACTCATAGTGGGTCGTTACAAGAGTATCAACTGCCCACTGAAGCTATAGTGGAAGGCTGTAATGATAGTACTAAGTTATGTAAGTCGTAGTGGGTCACCGCAAGAGTATTAGTTGGTCGAAAAGTTTATAGTTATTGTTAAATTGATATACAATGAAAGGAGAAAACTTTTGGAGTCTGAATAAAGTCACCGTATTTTGAGTACGACAACCATCCATAAGTAGTCGTTGTCGTAAGTTATCGTTGGATCTTCATTACATCATGTTTGAGGTATGTTATTGTGTATTATTTGGAATACATTGTGACTCAACAGAGTTCTTTGCTACTCAACAGAGTGCTTCGTTACTCAACAGAGTGCTTCATTACTTAACAAGATATGTACTTTGTTACTTAAGAGGGTACTTCGTTACCAACAAAATATTTTGTTACTCAATAAAATACTTTGTTACTCAATAGAGTCAGTAGTGGTTGATGGCAACTAGTGGCAAGTGGTTGACTTTGGTCGGTGGCTACGTAGACTAGAGATTATTGTCGAGTCTTCTGTCCAAAATAACACTGGAATCATGTTCATTCTCCTCCAATCCTCTCCTAAAATGAAAAGAGAGGGGTTTATTTATAGCCTCTAATGGTGGGGCATTTTGGTCATTTAACGGATAAGTATCATAATCACCTAATCTAACAACCAACATCGAATGACTCATATAGATCCACCTTGATTATAGAGGTTTTTGTAATGATTTGGGAACATTAATAACCTCATATTTAAGGGAGCTTTAGATCTTTATATTCTTCATGTCGACACTCAATTTGAATATAAATATGTCAAATTTGATGTTCATTTGACTATCCAATTAATGATTTAAAACCTCCAAATATGTTATTATAGCTTGATCTGAACTTGATCATACTTGGATTAGAACAATTTTTGTATCATTGAGTTCGTCTTGTCAAGACGGTCAGTTTGACTATAAATTTGCTGAAATTGAAACTCTTGATGATTTTTAATTTGAATCGGAACATTTTTTGCTTAAAAATACATCTAGATTTATTACAAAATGGCAACAACATGATTTCCAGTGAAGATTATTTCAATTTCAATCACGAGAGCAAAAGCATTGGCTTTGGTCGCCATTTTGTAATTAATTTAATATGTTCGTAACAACTCTTTCATTTTGATATGCTATTTTTTTTTTCTTGGTGAGAATATAATTGAATAATCTAATTAATTATTGGTGGTTTCCACCAAAATATTTAACATTGAATTGTAGATTCACTTTATGGATATGTATTTACCATTTCTATGTATTGTTGCATATGATGATGCCAATGGTGTTAGGAAACTTTTTTGCACAATCATCAACTATGTTATTTGCACAATTTTTAACTATGTTTTTTTCTTCTTCTATTATTCTCATGATCATCACTTTGTTTATATAACCTATTCATAAACTATATTTCAATACCATAAATTATGTAAAGTAAAATACATTTAAAAGTGGTTTAGACCAAAAACATAAACCAAGACCTGATAGAATTCAAGCTATGCTCCTCATCATGTACCAAACTATCCAATAGAGACAAATATATACAATAAATTTTGAAATTGTTGAATCCAATCTTTTTCGTGAATCACACTCTAGAGAGAGTGTGTGTGAGGAATGAGTAATGATAAATCGTGGATTATTCAAAAAATGTTTTCCCTATTTATAATGAAGATGATGTTATATTTTTCCTCATAGTTGGAGGGGGCCCGTATGATGTTATATTTTTCCTCATAGTTGGAGGGGGCCCGTATTAGTGTATTTTTAGTATTTTGCAAATATGGTGGTGTCATCTGGTTGCTTTTTGGCTCGGTGGATAAAGCTTAGCTGACTTTGGTTCGAAAGGATCAACTCAATTAGTTGAGCTCGGTTCACATGGGTCGATTGACTGATCTAGTATGTCTATCAATCCTTAATTCTTAGTGAGAAAACTTTTGGGTGTCCATGAGATGATTGAAGATATTGTAGAGTTGAATCTTCCCTTCGATATACTTTATTGGAGGGTGGACTATCATATCGAGTTGGCTTTCTTGTCATGGTTGGTTCAAATGCTCTTTTTGTATCGTTTTTGATTGAATGACTCGTGATTGTATCATCAAATCGTCTTTTTCTCTGCCTCGTGATCAGGTCAATTTTGGCTTTGTTGGCATAGTTTTTATGGCTTCGCCCGATCAAGTTAAGTGGACCTCACAATCTTCTAACAGTGAGCCAGCCTTTGTTGTAGTCTTCCCCTCTCGAATGTTAGATCTCTTTAAAATTAGTGCTGACATATTTTTTATGTACAAAAATACTTTAAGAAAATCATAAGATTAATGCTTAAGATAAAATGAATAACTCTTTGAGAATTGATGCACAATCAACTAATTTTGCAATTTGACACGTATCACAAGGCATTTAGTATGAATATTAAGATATTTTTAGCAAAAAAAATGTTCAAAATCAAAATTAAAAAGCATTCAAAGCTCCAATTTCTGCAAATTTATAGTTAAAATTATCGGCGTAACGAGTGGAACCCAACTGATACAAAAATTGATCCAATCTGAGCCAAATCAAAGCCCAGATCAAACTGTTAAACTACTTTTGGAAGCTTTGGGTGATTAATTGGAGGTCATATAAACTACAATTTTAATGTAACTATAGACCAATTGAGTGTCTTAACGAGAGGAATCCTACAGGCTCAAGTTTTTGATTCAAGATCATTAAGGCTAAAAGATCATAAAAAAATCTCTTACGATAAAGCAAATCAATAAGGGTAATTTGATCGAGTTGTTACGAGAGTGACTTGTCAAAGGACGAAATGCTCCTCTCTTGAGGACAATAAATATACCCCCTATCTTCACTTGAGGAGGAAGAAGATAAGGAGTCAAATTATAGTGATATTCTGGACTGAAGACCCGACGATAACTTCTGACCCGTAGATGCAGACCATCGTCAACCATTGCTCGCCGCCTGCCATCAACTGTCGTTGGTCGCCCCCTGCACGTCGCTTTTGGTGGGCTCTTTTGAGAAATGAAGTACGGGGTTAAATTATGAAGTACTCTTTTGAGTGACGAACAACTCAGTCGACTAACAAATTATTTTGTCGAGCAACGAAGTATTTTGCATACAGATAGCACATTATCCTAAATATTATGCAGCGACGTACCCTGAACACAATATATTGAATACCTGACTATAACTTCCATTGGTAATTGCTCACAATCTCTGTATTCAGAATACAATGATTTTTTATGTATATTGCGTACTAAAAAAATATTGTAATATTCTAACTCTTTTCCAACTGCATGATGAGAGCCTATCTTTGTACTTGTGAACTTATATTGAATTATTTTGACTGCAGTGGGTCTTATAAGTTTTTCCCTTTCCTGAGTTTCTCACTTAAAAGTCATGTTGTCTTTTACCGTTACTTTTCACTTATGTGTGAATCTTCGTACAATCATAATAGGTTAATTCATCACTCTACCGCCGTGAATTGCTCGACACACAACAAGAATAAATAATAAAATAAAAATGTTTCATCATAGATGAAAAAGGGGCATTTATTTACATACCATAGAATTCTTATATATTTACTTAACTAATTTCTATACTTTCATATTTACATACATGTCATTCCAATCCCGACATTATATAAAAAATATCACGATTATTAAATCTTAAAAAAGTGAAATATATATTTTCATACATAAATTTTAACACCAAAATATTATAAATATAAATATCAAACTTTAGTTATTAGATGTGTAAATAGATAAAAATTCTATGGTATGTATTTAATAGAGGTTGTATAAATATAAAATCATATTATAAATTTCAATGTCATAACATTTATGTAAATAATGATAAATTACAATTTTTATAATTAAAGACTCAATTTATGCGCATGAATTCTTGATTCATACTTGTTAGGAATTATCTAAAATACATTGATAATACGCTTAAACATTAATATATATATATATATATATATATATATATATATTATAAATAAAATAATATTATATAACAATATCATCTCAGTACACTCTAATGTCATTAATGTCATCCGGCAACCCCATATCAATACCTGGACGGAATGAATTTTCTACAGCTAGTTCTGACTTTTTACGGCCAGCTCTCCTAGTCGGAGCCATACTGTGATTTTTTTTCAACCTCTGGCACTTCGATTCTGTCACTGGATCGGATAGTTCTCCGATAGGGTTCTCGCCTCCATGGAGCCATTCAAGTGATATAGTCGGGGTTTTTAGGGTTTTCGTGATGCCGGAAATGCCGGCGGATCCAATCAGCCCTCCGGCGGACTCCGCCAAGGAAGAGCTGATCGACATGATTCAGCGCTTTCTGGAATATGTCGCTGGGATCTCGGAGCTCTTGCCTTTCACGGTCGATCGCCAGGTATTTTTTATTTCTTAGTTGATTTATGGAGATCGTTTCGATTTGGTTTGAGTGCATATTCTGATTGGCATGGGCTGGTTTGTTATTAGTTGGATATGCTTGATAAGAAGGTTTTTGTTCGGTGTATATTGCTTTGTTTTATTGCCTATTATATTTGAATACCGGAGATCAGGAATGTTGGCCTAAAATTTGGAGTTGCTTGGTTTTATGGTGCTGTTTATCTGACTAAAATGGAAAGTACCTGTTCCTTCTCCTCAAAAAAATAATTTTTGGGAAGCAAACCGAGTGTACACCCAAAAAAGTGTCTTGCACAAATCTCGAGATGATCTATGGTTCGGATCAAAAGAGACAATGACAGTATTATTCCTCAAACGAAAAACTAAGTACTCATAAAGCGGACTAGCTGAAGAAATAACAGCCGACCGGCAACCATCTGATCGAAGGGCTGGCGATCAATCAAAGGGCCACTAAGGCTAAGGCTGTCCGAAAACAAACAATCTCTCCCATTGAACGAACAAAGGTCCAATACCTCCAAAAATCTCACAAGCATCAACGCGAGGCTCTCCCAAAATTTTCCCTAAAGATTAATACTAGGACCAACCGATTTTTACTCTCAAAGCCAATCGGCTTCCCAAAGTGAAAACCTACCAGTATCCAGATGAAATAGCCGGCCGACACCATTAAGGCCTACCGACTTAAGGACTTGCCAACTGAAAGGTCCAAACATATTAAAAGACACTAAAATCAATTATGAATGAGAAAAGACATGAAACAGACAAAAATGTCCTGTAACCCCCTTATTAAAGCAAAGAAAAATTTGTTCACTTTATAACTCCCTATCTTCTATAAATTTGGGTTTCAATGCATGTAAAAAGGGTTTTTAACTTTTCTCCATAGACCCATACTCTGTAGGGAGAACACTCTCCCTTGCTCTCTTGTAACATCTATTTTTCATATATAAAATGGGTCACAAAGCCCATAAATACCCCAGTTTACTTATATGGGGCAAGTCTTTGTGTGTTCTTCACTCTCTTTTTTCTCTTCTTTCTGGTTCCTACCATTCTGATCCTTGGTCATGCCTCTCACAAGACAAATTTGGATTCAACACCATGTGATGCAAAGTTTAATTAGAAAAACAAAAGCAAGATCAATTTTAATCCTTAATGCATATATTTGCACATAGTAGAAAATATCACTCTTATTTGTTGGAGATCAATAAGAAGAGATGATTCTAGCTAGAAAATCTGGCTTTTCCTATGTTTTTCAAAAATGCCAATTAGATGTTAGCCTATTGTTGTCAACCTTGTTTAAAATTAGGCAATAAGAGGCATGCTAGAGCATTTTTTAGCCAATTCACAATGAGCTTATGCCTAACTCACCTGTATTGAGGTTCACCTCAAGGCATGCCTCACCTCACTGTGTGAGGCGCACATACTAGTGTAGATTTTTTTAAAAATAAATGTTAAACACACCACTTGGTCGTGACTCAGGCGATGCCTCAAGCATTCACGCCCCTCTACTTAGTCTACTCACCTAAATGATAAATCAACGCGCTTCTCTTCAACAACCATTGTCATTGCCATTGTTGGTCTTCATTGATGCTTTCATCGGCCTCTTGTGACACCATTGTTTTCGTAACTTTCCTTACTCGCAAGCCCAACCATCGCTATCATTTCTTGCGACCATTGTTGTCATTTCTTATAGCCCCCAACAAAAAACACCCCCCTCCCCAACAGCCTCGTCCACCTTCCATTCTTGTAGTAGCCACAATCACCATTTTCCACATTATAGCAACACCGTCATTGTTTTTAATCGTTGTCCACATTCTTCTTTGTAGCCCCAGCCTTCGCTGTCCCTTCTTGCTGCCCTAGCCACAGTCATCTCTTCTTGTAGTTGTCACCGGTCTCTCATGAAGCCGCAATCGGTCCTCCTTACAACCGTTTTCGTCTTTGGCAACTTCATTAAATCTTAATTTTTTCTTTACCTCCGGTTATAATTTCAAAATATTAACTTTTTATATTAAATTAAATTATTTAATTTATATATTTCTTGTTTTATAGTTGTAATACATCTTAAAATTTTTAATGCAAAACTTTCATTCGAGGCAAAACTTTCATCCTATGGTTAAGGAAAAATCGTAAGAGACAAGGAGAAATTCGCAAAGTGTTCTAGAAAGTATCTGGCGTGGTGATATGACATGCAAATTGATAGAGAGAATGGGTAGCATTTGGTGACCAAGTTAAAATTAGCAATGCTAGTGCTGTAATGACAGTTGAGAATATGTTGATTGAGAATAGATAACATTTATACGATATACATGTTGTTGCACATTGCATAGATTTAATTTTAGAGAAATTCAGTGATTTGCCCTAGCATAACAAGTGCTTTGGTAAAAATAGAGTATATTAGTAAATTCATTACAATATTTTTTAGGTTTGTATTTGATGAGGAACTTTTTTAAGAAAAAACTCATATGCCTTGTAATAGCATGATTTGCTAATGCTTATTTAATCTTATAAAACATATTAAATACTAGGTAATCATTGGAGATAATGACCATTTTCACTTAATGTCTTAGTTATGCATGACAAATAATGTTGAGATGAAAGAAGTTGGAAAAATTATTTTAAATGAAAAGTTTTGGTCTAGTCCCACATATTAATAGCAATCGCAAGAACATTGATTTGAGGGTTGTTGATGCGAAGAAAAATCTAACTGTGAGCTTTATTTACAATGCAACGGATGAGATCAATGATTCAATAACCCGTAACTTGGGAGAATAGGAGGCCAATTATAGGGAGATTTGAAATATTATTTTTGAGATATGAAAGCTTCATCTCCAATATCATTTGTATGCTGTTGGATATTTCTCTAACATGTTTAGAATAACTCTTATCAATTCTGAAATCAAATTGGGGCTATACCATTATATGAATAGGTTGATTGATGACTTAACTGAGAGGGAAACTACTTATAGACAAATTATACCATTTATGAATTACTATCAAAATTTTAATTTTTCTTTTTGATTATTTATATATATATATATATATATTTAAATATAGTTGACTAGTCATTCTAGTTTGGTGATGATATTTTAGAGTTATAAATTTCACTGTTAAAGTATTATGACTTATATTCTTCTAATCTAGATGTGAGCTCAACTAGAGCATATATAATGAAGTTCACATAAAGAGAAACCATCTGACAACTTTAACATATAATAAAATTTTAGATTATAGAAATCCAAAGAACAGTAGTTTGAAGGATAAGGAGAATCTTCTACTATGTGAATGTATGCTATCAGATGATGAGTGCTTTTTATATTTGTAACAACAACATCACATCATCTGAATTTTGACAAAAAAATTTGAATGTTGATATTTTTTATGGATGATAATTAGACTAGTACATTAAGCACCAAGCAATAAGAGATAAAAAAAAATGTATTCATAAAAAATTAAGTATTTGAAGTTAACTTAAAATTTAAATAATATTTTAGCTTCTATATATTTTTATTGATTATAGAAGAGAAAGATGACTGAGAAGGAAGAAGATAAAGAATAATATGAGAACTTTGACTCAATTGAAGAAGAGTCAGATATGAGAGAAAATTATTTATTCTGACGGCGACTTCAATAAAAACTTCCCGAGTGATGAGAGTGCTAAGAATTTTTTATTATTTATTATATTCTTATTTAGATTTATGGATGTTGTGTTGGATAATAGAAGTGAGAATATTTTGTTATGCTAAATTTATTTTAACTCTTACTTTGATTTGAAATTTTATGCTAACATCATTTGATGACTTGTATTAGTTTGATCAGTTAATGTCTGCATTATATTTTTATTTTTTGCAGTTTATTACATGATATTTTATGTCTTACGCGATTTGTTTTTTAATATAGGCATAATTTATCAATTTTTACTATGTTAAGATGTTAATATGTATTTATTCAATATATTTATAGATTATGATGCTAATGTGCTAATTTTACCTTTATTTTGATTTTACGCAAACTTTTAAGTGCAAGACTATGCCTCAGTCTCAAGACTTGCTGGTCGCCTCATTAACGAAAAACACTTTATTGCTTAATTGTACTAATTTAAACTATGATCGTGAATGCACTCACTGCAATACCACACATTTTTATTGTTCATAATGTCTTGCTTTTTAGGTGAGATTATAAAAAATGATAATGGGAACTTGAGGATTTTGAGATTGATAGTAGGTAATTTATATTTTTATGTGGGGATGTGCTTCAAAGGTTTATCCATCATAATCTTCCTCTTTAAGCTTGCCATCTTAATTTGTCTTGTCCCAACTATTTGGGGTCAGCTTTTTAAATCCTTGTTTTCCATTCATTTTTAATTGAGAGCTAGATGAGGTGTTAATTTTAATTTTATGAGCCTGTAACACCACATCTAGTCTTTTTTTCTGTTAGTTATCCTTTCTCCTAATGAAGCTTTCACATGAATACTATCTTTCAACTTCATACGCGCTTGTTTTAATCATGTGCAAACAGCCAAAAGGTGAATATCAGACAAATGTGAATTCTTTAAGTATGCATCCTTAAACTGATTTTAAATGATGAATTATTTATATCTTCAATCAGCGAGGCTTTTGTTTTTTTTTTCAAATTTTTATATGTACTCTATATTTAGAAGTTAAATATAATCAAGGCTTCTAGTTTTTATAAGAAATCTACGAGTATTGGAAAGATTGTGATGCACAAAAGATTATCTATAACTTTTGATGATTTATATAATTAGTTTGGTACTGAGGAATGAGTAAGGCAGATATATAAAATTGTTATTGTGGGAATTGGGTAGATAAGAAATGTATAGGCTTTAATGAGCTGATCAAGTTTTATGCAATTGAGGTGATGATAAATTGATAGTATAATCGTAGTTAAAGATGACAACATCAAGAACTTGTGAAAAAATATTTTGGAAAATTTTTAAATGAAAGTTTTAAGAATATAAAAACTTATTTTGCAACAACAGTATGAAGAAGATAATGAGATTTTCATTTGTTACAAAAAAAAAAAAAAAAAAAAGAAAAAGAGGAGAGAAATCGAAGTTTAAAGTAAAAAAATATGAATATGGTAAAGCTTTGGGATGATATGCGATAACTTTTTTGATTCAGAGAGTTATTGGGATATTGTTGTGTTTTCATCGCCATCTAAATTTATTGAAATTTTGAACATTAAAAATATTTCATTTAATTGAAGAAGAAAGATTTAATATCAATATTTAAGAAGAAAATAGACGCTCAACATCAAACATATGAGCTGTATATTGAAGCTATGGGTCAAATTGAAGATATATTCATAAAATTTATATAAGCTTTATATAATGAATTTTGTTCTTTACTATCGGAATCTACTATAAAAGTGATTTATGTGATAAAAAAATTTAATAAAATAATACAAAGCAGAGGAGGATTATTTATACTGTTTATTAATATTGAGAATTCATATGATTGAGTACCACGAAATTTGATTGGGTGTCCATTAAAGAAGCTTTCATTGATGTCTAAATGTTATAATTTTTATAATGGAGCATTGACTAGTATTTGAAGTATTGGAGTGCCAAAGAGTTTTCAATTAAATATATGATTACATAAATGATCAACATTAAATGCAACAAGAAGCAACTACAATTTTTTTTTCTCAAAGAATATTTTCATTGAAATTTTATAGATTAAGAAGACTGCAAATGGTTGAAAATAATTATTTTGATTCCAATATTTTTAAACAAAGGTTATATTTCTTTTCTGGTAATTATCGATGAATCAACATTATGAATATATAATAAAGTTATGGGAGATATAAATAGAAGATAGACTTTAAAAAACTACATCAGTTTTGAAGAATCATTTTAGTTGAAAATATGCTATAAAAGTTATTTGCATGTTAATTCAACTAATAAAAAAATTCAGAATTCACAAAGGATTTTTTTGTGTGTGATTTTTGTTAATTGTGAGAAGGCATGGTCAAGTTCCATGAGTATTGATTCATGCCCATCAACAATGAAAGGTATGTTAAGTGGTATTAAATATTTGTATAATGGAGTGTTGATTAGTATTAAAATTAGTTGTGTGATCAAGACCTTTTTCAATCAAATATGATTATATTGAGGATCAATATTGATTTCATATTTTTTGTGTATTAATTTTGAGGATACACATTGAGAATATTCAAACTGAGGTACTTTTGGTGTATCATATATGGCATTGCTCTAGTTGGTAGAGCATCTACTGAAATAAGTGAGAAAGTGAGAAAGTTAGAAAGAGGCTAAATATTAAGAAAATTTAGGGTTTAGAATTCGTAGAATAAAGATCGAGTGTCTGAAGTTACCTTGGTATATGCTCTTTTTATGTGGCATAGGTCTAATTGGTAAGAAAGTGAAAAGTTAGGAAGACATTCTAAATATTAAGAAGATTAAGGGTTTAGAATTTATAGAATGAAGATCGACTATATGAGGTGCAATTTTGGTTGGTTGTGATATTAACAATCTTCAATTATTATTATTTGGAGGTAAAATGACACATACATTTAATAAGCTTAAGACCAAAAGAATGAGTATATAATTTTTATAATTAATGATAAGTGGTTAAAATGGATATAAAAATATCTACATAATGGAGACTTAAACTTTATAAAACTGCAATGAGGTCTACTATGCTATATTTATTCAAGTATTAGATAATAAAAACATTAATGATATCTAACTTACATATAATAAACTTGACAATATTAAGATGGATACACAACAAAACGAATATTCATATTAAAGTGATGATTAGAGTGTCATGTTTTGAATACAAGAGTGTTAAAAATAGGTTTATGTGGCCGGTATATGTATAATTAAGGGTAGAAGTTGAACCATTTAAATGGGCAAATAAATAATTTCCAAGAATTAAGAAGGAAAAGAATTTGATATAGCTAGCATGGATAGAAGTTGTTTAAAATTATTTGTGAATATGGTTCAATACCTTAGGCCTCATTTAACTTTAATAAATGAGTTAACACAAAATAGTAGGGATAATGCTAACGATGATGATAATAATCTCTATTTACAAAATGCTGTATATCTTAATCATAGTTGGCGCACATTTTTTTTTTTTTTTTTTTTTTTTCTTTTTTTTTGTGAAGCCATTTTATTGCATCTTTATCACTTTTTCATTTAGCATTCATGATGTCTTCAACAGTGGAAATGTGATTTAAATTTTTTTTTACGATGGTGTAAAATCACTGTGCTAAGTATTTGGTTTTTATTTGTTTTAGCGTTCATAAGCTTGCATTTGGTCTATGAACTCTTGTGTGCATTTTTTAGTGATGCATTCTTGTCGATGAAGTTTGTTAATTTTTGTCAATATATTTATCAGAAATTTCGCTCTATCACAACGCTTGCCGCGCTTTCTTTTGCAATATTTATTGCTTGGAAATTTTTGAGAGCTCCACCTGCACATCAAAGAAGATCGAGACAGTCGAGTGTAGCAGCAGCTGTTTCTGGTGCCAGATCTAGTAGTTCAAACTCAGGACTTACATCATCAGAATACTACTCATCCTCTGCAGAGTTAAGACCACATGATAGAGTTGATGAACTCTTCCAAACTGGAAAGGTACCTGACATGTAATTTTGTAACCGTTAATGCAGTTGATTGGATGTTAACACTTAACGGTTGATGGTCCCCTTTGGCAGCGAACTTTGGAACAGATAATAAGGCATAGGCTGAATGAAGGACGCAAGGTAAAGGTTTATGTTTGTTTGTTTTTCTTTTAAAACTGTGCTCATAGAAGCTTCTCATTTCTGAAGGCATGCTTGTTTATTCATGAAATTGGGAAAACTGAGTAATACTTTCTTACTTTCTTGTTAGTATCAAAGGAAAAAAAGGTGGGAAAAAGTCAATTCCAAATTTCTAATTTTATTGGCTTTTAAGTGGACTTTACCTTGAAAATTATTGAAAGCAATGCATCCTAGGTGAGTTTCAATGAAGGAACCCTCTATCAGGCAGTTGGGTGACCTGCCACTATAAAAGGTTTTTCATTTTATGAAACTATGATCTTCTTAATGGTACACAACCTAAAAATAGCTTTTTGTACGTCACCTTTTTTAAAAATTATGTAAAGCTTGTTAAAGAAAGTGAACTTTGGACTCCCCCATGGAATCAAAATGCGCCAAGCTGAGTTTTTATTTTATTTTATTTTAACTTCTGATTATTGGCAATAGGAATTCTTCTATCCTTTTTTTATGATTGTATGTCAATATTTGTTTCTTGTTTTTTTTTTTTTACATACTTGGTGCGCTTTAACTATATGTCCTCTTGTCATTATCCCAATCTTGTTCATTTAATGATTTGTAATTCACTTCTGATTGGGACCAATCTACCTATCATTCGTCAGGGATTTAACTTTTTTATTGCTACTTCTCTGTTTTGATGAGACTCCCTAGAATGGGCAGGCTTTTTAAATCTGTGCATATTGAGGCTTAAAAATTCTCTTGCTTTCAACATTTAATTTGGTTAATCATTACTGTTGGATTTAAGATTTTAAGGATTTTAAATCGGTTTTGTATTCTCCTTAAGTGAAACACTGGTGTAGACTATGGGTGGTAAGTCAACATGTATCATTGTTTTTTAAAATATGGAATATCACGAAGATTAGGTTTAATTCCTCAGGCAATACTGAATGCGAGCGAATTCTAAATGAGGATTCATAACATTGATCCTAAATAATTGGTGTAAGACTAATGATGATGATGATGATGATATCATATTTATAGATCAATACAAACAAAAGAAAAATCATACTTATTATCTTTCTACATGGTTTCATAATTTTTTACTTGCCAACATTTTGAGAAAGTTGTAAAAAGGCTATTTATAACCATAAAAGAATTTTTTTTGTGATATAATCAACTTAAAGTGGCATCATGCATACAATGTGGAGCCATAAAATTTTTAAAGCGGGGGCACAAAATATTTTTTTTTTCAAAAATTTTCTCAACCTTTTCTATTCGGGCTTAAAAGCAACTTTGATGGTTTTGCAAATTTTTTATTAAAATCCGTTGACTTTAATCTGTGGTGGTTGATTGACATTGATTATTCAAAGTAATACTTAGAAAAAATATAAACATATTACATTTTTTATATTTATTATAAAATAAACACTTTTTCTTCTATAAATATTTCTTATACATTTATATAGAAACTTAGAAAATTGCTTGGTACGAATCTATCAATAATGGAATTATAGATTAATTGATTTAAATAAAATGCTATATTCACTCTCATGAAAATTAAGAATTAATTATTTGTCAATTTTTTTAAAAGTACATGATAAAATTTAGAGGCTTTTGCATACATACCACCCAATTCATATGTATATCATACCACCCAAATCTTTTATATAACGTCAAATATATCATTATTTTAACTTCTAAAATGTGAGACTCCTTTTCATTCATGGGTAAGGAAGACTGCAAATCAATCGAGCATTCGATAAGCTACCCTTGACTTGGCTTTGACTTGGCCCAATTAAAGCTCATTTATGTTCTTTTAATTAATTAAACAAATAAACCTTAATTTTTTTAATTACTCGATTATTAAATGAACAAGCTTGAACACCTCGTTGCTCAATTTGATTATGATCATGAATAATATTATTTAATGCCCATGAACAAATCCGTTAAGATGCTCGATTAAAGCTGGATATTGATTTAAAACCCAATATAAATTATAACTAATAATATAATTTAATTTAAAAAAAGTAAAATTAAAATTATTATTATTTGTTTATCAACTGAAAAGCAATTAATTCTCTCAAATGTCTCAAAAAAACGTTAGCTTTTTTTTAATACAAACATAATTTGGTAGAAAAAAAAACTAAAATTACAACTCACTGGCACACACACATTACTAATACACATAATTAATGTGTTTTCTTTTTTTTCATTGAGTTATAAGAAGTACCAAAATTTTCATATCTTGTTTCTAATATGGGGTTTTCTGACTTCAGGCTACATGCCAATTGCTTGGTGTGATCCTTGAGGAGACTACGCCGGAGGAGCTTCAGGTGGGTAAAATCACCTTTTATGACCTTGGCCTGTGATGCATTTGCTTAAATCTGAACCTGCCACCTCGTTTTAGGAGCAAGACTGGTTTCATTCAAACCATTTCTTTTTGTGTGGATAATCACTCTTTGATCTATCTTTAATTTTGCATATGGCACTATAATTATTCATATCATGGTTATGGCAGGAACATGCAACTGTTAAATCTTCTGTCCGGGAGTTGCTACTAGAGATAACAAAATTCTGTGACCTGTATCTTATGGAAAGAATTCTTGACGATGAAAGTGGGGTGGGTTGCACTAATTATCAATCATTTTAGCTGAATTTTTCTTGCTGCGTTTTCATGTTTGTTCAGTTATTTTCTTTCCTATGTGCTGAGACAGCTCATAAGGTTTTTTTAATTTTAAGATGATTCAAGCAGCATCATACATGTTTTTAATGCTTATAAGTGATAATTGTCCGAAACTGAAATCAATCGATACGTCAATATTTGTTTCATTAAGCATATTATTTTATTCATAATTCATTTCATGATGGAAAGTGAGATGGGTTGCAACAATTTTTTACTAACATAAAATTTCATGATATGTGCATTTCTGTTTGGGCAATTTTCATGCTTGTAGCAAAGTCAAATACATAAGATTAAATTAGTTGTTTGTTTTCTCCATATGGCAGTGCCATTCATGCTAGTTTGAGAACTGTCATGCGTAGTTCTTAAGCTTATATAAATGACTGCTCTTCTCAGATTGAACTTGTACACATCCTCAATCATTCCTCTTAGCATGATTAACTTGCCCACTTATACGAGGGAAAAAAATTGGATTCTTTCATATATAGTTGTTTTAATTGTAGAAACTGAAATTGCCACATTACTTGTATGTGGCTGTTTGCTCCTATGATAATAGATAATGATGGGTCTGGATGAATGCAAAGTGGAAGTTATCAATTGTTTTCGCTTCACTCAATATTGGAAAACTGAGTTTGTGATTGGTTTTTGAAGCTTCTTAACATAAGAAAATGCAGTTACTCAAAATATTTGTCACTTGAAAGTTACTTTATTACTGCATCATGTGCATTCCATTTATACCCTACCGTTAATCACGATGTCTGAAAGCATACCTGCTGCCTTCTCTAACCTTATTAAAAAAAATCATAATTACAAATTTTAATATATAATAATTTTAATTTATATAGAAGATCTGCACAAAGTTTTTATATTGCATTTGCACCCCCATCACGGCTTCATGATCAAAGGGCAACGCACTTGCAAAACAAATTTTTCATCTCTTTGAGTGATAATCACTATTTGTTTTGGTACAAGGATTGTTTTTCCTCACAAATCAATGCAATAATAACTAAGCATCATGAAATTAAGCAACGGTGTGCACTTTAAAGTTTAAATCATCGTAAGGTATAGTTTGGTTTCTAATTTTTTACTGTTTTGAAATCATGTTAGTTCATTTTTTTTAAATTTGTGTCTTAATAGCTTATGTTGGCTTTATACATTCATGAAAGTTTTTTAGCAGAAATTTGAACATCTGTCTTTTTTATTTTCTTTTGAATTCTTTTTCAGTTTTATGCCAGACCTTGCATGAAATGGCTTTGATTTAGCCAGCCATTTTACCCAATATAAATATGTATGTAAATTTTAAAATTTCAATTTAACTTTTTTCAGAGATTGACAAATTTTTACTTTCAAAATATACATCCATAACTACTACACTTTATATTGTTTGGCTGAAATTGTTCCAAATGTTTTTCTTTTTTTGGGCCTGTATAATTCACCATTATTAGGAGGTGATGGAATTTCCCATCTTTAAAGGGGAGGTTGGCTAAGCCACACTTCTAAGAGAACTATTTGGGTGTACATTTCCATAAGCACGTATATATAACTTTTTTTTCTAATAAAGGATATTATTTATGGCATAAATTATATATACCATGTAAAATATCTTGGTATAATAAATAATACATATCTCATATATTATTTAATAGTTTAAATTCATGATATAACCACATACCACATAATGTATCATCTGTAATATTATTAATACAAGTGCAATAAGTATGTGTGTGTGTGTGAGGGGGAAACATTCCCTTATTCCTCAATCTTCAGATTACAACTACTCATTCTATAGAGAATGAACTCATTCCTACAATTACAACATTTTTTGCAATATTGACGGCTGCTTGGCTATCACACATCTTTATGGGATTAACCGCGGGGTGTCCCATCTCATTTAGTACCCTTTGAATTTACATTCCTTCACAAATTTTGCAATACCGATGGTGGTTTGACTTTCACACATCTTTATGGGATTAACCATGGAGTGTCCTAGCTCATCTAGTACTCTTTGAATCCACATTTCTTCACAAATTCCCAAAAAGAGTTTCTGGAACTCAGATTTTACACTACTTCTCGAGATCACTTCTTGCTTCTTGCTCCTTGTGACAAGATTTCCCTATACATTGGAACAATATCTAGAGGTGGATCTTCTGTCCGCCAGTTCTCTTGCTCAGCTTACATATGTGAACATCTTTGCATCCCTGTTGTCAGATTTCTTAAATAACAGTCCTTTGCCATAGGTTTTCTTAAGAAATGTTAATATTTTGTACACTATTCCAAATGTTGCTCATTTTGATTGTTCATGCGTTGAATCACTATGCTAACAAAGTAAGCGATGTCAGGTAGATAAGTTTACTCATCAATCTTTGGCATCTACCATTTTTCACTAATGCCTTTTCTTCCCCTGGCCATAATTTTTTTGTTGAAATTCATAGGACTCTCAACAGGTTTGTACAATTATATTCTCGTTTCTTTTAATAAGGCTTAGATGTACTTCCTTTGGGATATCACAATACTCATCTTAGACTTGATCAATTCCATGCACAAAAAATATTGCATCGCTCATGGTTCCTTAATTTCAAATTTAGTAGCAATAATCTCTTTAATCATTCCAATATCTCTATCATCATCACCAATTAGGATCATATCATCAACATAGATGATGTGTATCATTTTTCTACCTCTCTATGTATTCTTTATGAACAATGTATGATTTGTTTGACATTGGATGTATTATAGTCTAGGCAAACTTATCAAACCAAATCTCTAGCAATTATTTGAGACCATAGAGTGACTCTTTTAGTTTGCAAACACATTTATTTGAGTCATCTTCCAGTCCTTGGGGAATTTTCATATATGATTCTTCTTCTAGGTCTCCATTCAAAAATGCATTCTTAATATCAAGTTGATGTAGTTTTCACTCTTTATTCACTATTAAGGAGAGGAATTCTTACAGTGTTTAGTTTGACCACTGGAGCAAATGTCTCTTGATTGTCTTTCCCATATGACCGCGTGAAACCTTTGGCCGCCAACGTAGCCTTGAACCTCTAACGTTGAACATTCATTTGCATTCAACTGGTCTTTTATTTGGAGGAAGTTTTGTAAGGGTCCACGTGCTATTTAGCTTAAGTGCTTGAATCTCTTTTCAACCGTCCTTTTCTATTCTAAACCTTAGAGTGTCTCATGAACCTACTTGGGTATTGCACACTGTGAAGATTAGATACAAAGGCTTGGTAAGTTGATAATAACTTCTCACAGGTAACATACTCATGGATAATATAATTTGTGTAACTTTCCCTGTCTTTTACGCTGGATTTCATTTCCCTTAGAACCTCAGAAATGGGTGAATTCAGGTTTGGTTTTGAACAATTCTATGCTTACATATTGTCTTTACCCTACTCAGTGATTTTTTTCTCCTATAATCACATTAGCTTTATTGTTTTTAGTTTTCAGTTGGATGTTCTCAACAAGAGGAACTTGGAAAGCATGATGGTTAAATGGAAGAAGAATACGTTGTGATGACTCTAGATCAGTGAGGGCATCCATAGTAGTATAGGGAAATAAATAGGCTATGATGACTCTAAATCAATGTGGGTGATCAGAGTGGAGTCCCGAGTCTGATATTCACCGGACTCTCCCCCTGAATATTAGATTTGGGATATTAGGTTTTTTTTTTTCAAAAAAATAAAAGAAACATCCATCAAATTATAGTATTTTTTCATAATGGGAGAATAGCATTTGTTACCCTTTTGTTAGAAGCAGACCCCTAAAAGATACATTTGATGAATTTTAGGTCAAGTTTTGTGTGGTTTGGTTGGTGAATGTGAATAAAAGAAGTACATGCAAATATTTAGAGGGAGCTTGGATGAGAATGCTCTTATACGAGGGTATTTTGTCATCGCAATATTGAGAGAAGCTTTGAATACAATAACCCTACTTGACATTCTTTTAATGAGATAGGTTGCTGTGAGATGAGGAAATACTCAATATATTGTGCAATACCATCATGTTTTTTGCAATGCTGATGTAGGGTTTTCATTTTGTTTCCAACACTTCTTCTTTATGTGATCAGGTTTCTTGTAATTCACACCTGGGGAAATTTCTTTTTTGTCTTTGACTCGTTAGAAGAGTTGGTGAGTACAATGCAAAACTTCAGTACTAGGATGAATCCACACTTCTTGCCGTCATGAGCTTCTTCCTGCTTCTCTTCAAACTTCAGCAAATGCTTTTCTAATGGTAGGAAGAGGCTTCTTTCACATGATTTTTTTTATCTCATCTAAGTTTTTATTTAAACCCAATAAGAACCTTGATTATCCTCTTCTATTTCACTATTGTTTTATACATTATGACATCTTGATGACACTTCTATACATATGTATCATCATATCAATGTAACTAGTCTTTGGATAGCGTGTTAAAGTATACAGTAACACTTAACTCTGTTTGTCGAAGCTCATGCAGTTTTGTCTTAATCTCAAACAATTCTGCATTGTTTTCTATACTCGAATTAAACTTTTGAGTTGCTTCTCAAATCTCTTGTATTGTCTTGTAAAGTAAGAAATTTTGTCCAACTTTTGTGGTCTTCGAATTGATCAATTAACATATGACCATATGATCATGGATCTTCCATGAGCAATGGTTTAGATTAGTGAGCTCACGAACTGTGCCCTCTCCTGTAAGATTTTTCTCTTTTGTTTCCATATTCGTACATAAACATGGATTGACATTATTGAAAAAAGTTGTGATGGTTGATTTGTGATAAAGGTAGAGAGTTCTTTTAGGGTTGGTTGGATAGAATTCCTGGTCTTTGATTCCGAACTAACCTCTAGAATAGAGTTAAACATCTTCATACTGTACTTTGTCATAAGCCCTATGCACGCTTAGGGTTGGAAAAATTTTCTAACAGTTGTGCGAGATGAGGAATGCCTCTGCGGTGCTTTCTCAAGAAGGATGAACTAGAAAGGCAGCGGGGA